GTCAAACAGCCCAAAATTATTACGACGAACAACTAGCGCACTACCCTGAATTTATGTGGTGTTTCTACACAGACTTACTCCTCCAAAACTCCAAAAAATAGAAGTAAAACACGCAGCCCAACCACAACAAAAAATAATCCACAAAACAGTCCGCTACAAGTGAATAACTCGAACTCACGGCTTCCGATCACTGTCCCGTGAGTTCTACCTATTAGAAAACGAATTTATCAACCTTTCTTGATATTTAAACACTTAAATACAGAAAGTACATGTTTTATTAACTATGAAGTACCTTCCAAAACTCAAACTACAAAGAAAAATAGAGGCGATATAGCGATACTTACGCCATAGGGATCGTTTAAATATTATCGTTTCTTGATTTCGTGCCCGGAATGATAATCTTAGCTTAAGAGTAAAGTTAGGGGTCTTATTTGGTTGTGTGTTCTGGAAAATTGAAGAATGAAACGAGATAAAGATATAAATATCCATTTTGTTTGAAAAGTCAAAAGGTGCTACTTGGCACCCTAGCATTGGTCCTTCTTCCAACGCTTATAACTTTTTATTTGGGTGTCGTATGAACGAACGGTTAAGAGCATTGGAAACTAAATTCCAAGACCTTCAATTTGGTATATAATATGTCCCAAAAAGAATACATATAGCACATAAATTTTATTTCTCAAAAAGCTCTGTTACAAGCCAAATCTTTAGTCGCTTTTTCCGCAACTTTAATTCGATATTTCCCAAACTTCATATTTTCTATCCAAATATCATATATAGCCATATTATGACTTTAAAATCATTTAAATAATAATTAATAAGTTTCATATTCATTACGCCACCTTGGGACGCACATGGTGTAACACTCACTGCTCTAGAGTGGTATTCACATCCAGCATCAGCTTGGTGCAAGGGGGACTCGGGGTTTGGCCGCTTCGGGGCCACTGGCTGCAGCAGACCTAGTCCGATTACCTTTTGAAACGAACTTGAATATGATTCATCAATTGGGATGAACTGATGCCTTCTGAGGGGATCTCTTGGGCGAGGATTATATTGGGGAACATTTGGTTGGGGATTATATGGAGCTTGGTAGGGTCGGGAATTTTTGGGATGTGAAGCTCGGTTTTGTGTATAATGCTCTAGCCGCGTGTAAGGTTGCGCACTCATCACTGTATAGGGAGGCAGTGTCATGGAATAAGCATCATATTGATGGGGATAATAGTGTTGTGGGACTTTAGGAAGCATATATGATTGGTTGAATAACTTGCGGGCCCCCTCGAGCTCAAAGCCATCATGGTTCCCTCTTCCTCCCTAGTTATATTCATCAAACACCCCCGAACCAATTTGAACGGTCTGCCATGTGGCCTTAAAGGCAGCATGACTCAAGATTCGACCTGTTTTTAAATCATTTTCGATCATCTCCCCAATTTTGATAGCTTCGGCAAACGGGTTACCATCATGTTCCGGAAGTAGTCCGCCTCTTGCGCATGTAGAAAGACCATAACCATTTATGCTTCGTCCATTGGAGGTTTTTCCCTGTCGGCTTGCTCGCACCATTTGACAGTATACCCATACAAGTTTTCCACGATTTTCTTTTTCAAATTGGACAAAGAGTTCTATTTTTCGCTCTTGATTTTTTTCTTTTTTTGCTCTTTGTTATTTTTTTGTCACTCCTTTCTTTCTTTTTCTTTTTCTATTTTTTTTTCACACGGTTTATTAATGGTTATGATCGAATCCGATGAGGATTGCCTACGTATCATGACGCCGATCTTGCGGGTTGAATGAACCCGATCCCATTTTTCTTTTTCTTTTTTTTTATAAAGATTTTTAAATATATTTTTTTAGTTTTGTTTTATGGAATTTGAAATTTTTCTTTTTAAAAGAAAGAATTCTAAAGAGGAAGAAAATACTTTGAACTTTGATTTGAAATTTTTTTTTTCGAATGAAAGACTTTGGAAAAGAAAGAAAATATTTTTGGATTTAAATTTTTCTTTTTGGATTTTCTAAGGAAAGAATTCTATTTTTGAAGGGAATTAAGGGAAGGGAAAATATTTTTGAATTTTTTTTTTTTTGAAAATCGGGGTTGGAACCGATGAGGTTTGCCTACGTATCTCACATCCGGTGAGAATCAGACCCGCGTAGTTCGGTTAGTTTTTCAGGACTGGGGAAAAATGTCATTTTTGAAAATCTGGAGTCATTTGTGACCACCTTCTAAAAATTCGTTAGAGTTTCAGAATCTTTTTTTTCTTTTTTAAAAATACTGGGATTTTCAGGAACCAGGTCAATTTTCTCTTTTCTGTTTTTTTTGGTTTTCTTTCCCTATTCTAGAAGTCTGTCAACCTGCAAGCCAAAATAAAAAAAATGCACAAGTAACACGTAAAATGTATCAAGATGGTCTTTTATATTGGAGCAAAATCAAATGCACGTGATGCAAACAAACGTTCCTACTAGGTATTCGGCATGCGGCTATGTTATTCTNGGGAATACAAAAGTTTTACCGTCTTTGTAACTTGTCCGATCCTCGTTCTAAAATTAGGGGTATGACTCTAACAGAAAAGAAGTCATGCGAAGCGCATGCTCCCAGAAGATTTAGAAGACTTAGAGAGAAGAAGGGTGCCGTAACAATTTTATATACACTTCATACAATATCAAAGCGGTAAAAAGCGGGATTTAGCACATTAGGCTCAAACATGTAAAAATCAGATAATAAACCAAAGCCAAATATAATAGTTATTCTAAGCTCGAATTCTGGACCCTGAACCAGAAGTTCTGGGTTCTTTTCCCAGTAGAATCGCCAGAGCTGTCACACCTTATTTTTCCCGAGGGAATAGGGGGGGTTTTCAATTAAAGTGACATTGTTCGAAATAAGATTATTTATATAAATTAGAGTCGCCACTAGGAATAATTTATGGTGTCCCAAGTCACTGGTTTATTTTAAATCCTAAATCAAGGAAATTTGACTTTGTTTTAAAGTCCGCGAAAACCAGAAGACATGGTAAGGAATTCTGTTAACCCGGGAGAAGGTGTGAGTCACTCCCGGATTCCGTGATTTTAGCACGATCGATTTACAATTACACATGGCTTAATTATCTGAATCATTACATGTTTAAAACCTTTCATGCATTACCGTTTTTAATTATTTATTTAACCGCTTTTAGTATTTATAGAGTTATTTTTGAATTAGTTACGATATCGTACACTTGTCGTTTTGGTACACATTGCAAACCGCGCCACGTAAAATGCACCCGGAATTTACAATATGTTTATTATTATTATTATTATTTGAAGTTTTGGTCAAGTCGCGTGAACACATACTCGAATTGGGATTTACGTATCATGACTATGCCACAGAAACCGTACTCATAGTTACGATGATTTATTATTAATCGCGACTAAAGCAAGGTACGATGAATTCTTTTCCTAAAAAAACTAATTTTGTTAAAAATTATGTGACTAAATTAATACTCCTATAGTAATAATCAAATATCTAAGAAGACTAAGCCATAAGGGAGTGAACAGTGAATGACATGAATGAAACAATTGAATACGGTAGGGATGGATCTTTAATAAACTTTCATCAACCAAACACTCAACCGATTAATTTAGGATATTTAACAAAATGGAACAATCGAAAGTGTTTTTAATTCTTAATAGAAAAATTCACGGCTCTTACGACAGAATTCTAATTTCTAATAAACAAACTACATTCTTTCTTGTTCAAGCAATAAACAAAGACGTTCATCCGCATACTAACAAATACAATCTACTAAGCATTTACCAAAGACAAATACTAAACATGGTGTGAGCAAACAAAAGATTAAATTAAAATTAATAACATGCTTATCAGAAATGTGACATTTTATTCAAACTCAAAGCCACTTAACCAAGACATCGCAGCAGTGTTTTAACGAGGAAGATTAGTAGAGTGCAAAATAACCTTTTAGCAAGGAAAATCTGACTTTGTTTGCTCAAAACTGAAAGATGACCAAGACCGTGACTTTGGAACCTCGACTTCGAAGATCGCCGGAATTTGACGAACCTCGGACGTACTCGACTAGGCCTGGACGTTTTTAATGGCAGAGATTTGGACTGTTTTTGCCATTGATTTTAATGGAGTTTTCAAGTGGGTTCAAGGTGGACTTAGAGGCTGGTCTCAAGTGGAAATATGGGACTGTTGTGGGACTGATTTGGGATCTATTTAAGGACTGTTTTTAGCTAGTTTTAAGCTGAAATTTTGTGGGAGATTTCACTGGTTCTTTGGTGAAGAAGCAGTGGATTCTCACTCTATTTTTTGTCCCTCCGTTTTTCTCTCGTTTTTAAGCGATTTTTCAGCTTCTTCCATTTTCGTGTTCTCGGTGTGTGTTTATATAATGTGATAAGGAGATGAGTGGGGAAAATTCAAGCTGGTCAAAAATTAAGTGCTCACATGGACTATTACAAGACACAAGAAATATGAGGTTGAGTTATTAAATTCTCAATCTAATCCATAGCCTTTATAAATAGTGTATTGCGTGCAGAATAGACTTGATGGATGGAGATATATGAGCGTGGAGTGGGACTGATCCTATGAAATTTGTGGCAAAGTTTCTAGAGCACTCATGAAAACCAGGCGCGCGCATGACCTCTTAGTGCAAAATCGCAATTACAAAGATTGTGCGAGTATAATGTGATAAATAAGACTCTGGGCTTACAAAAGAATTTTAGTTCGAGTTCTAAACTTCACCAATTGTTCTATAAGCGTAATCTTATTTTTTTTATGTTTCGTTCACAGTCTACGAGACGCCAGATTCGATGCATTGTACACATGTAAAAAAATCCAAAAAATATACTATAATTCTATTCCTTTTGAGAAATGTGAGGATTGTTAGACAATGAGTTTATCTCAAAAGGAAGTGTTGAAATTCTATTAAAAATGTTAAATTCATTTCTATCGGCATTTAGTGTGTGATGATTATTTATATTCTAGCTATTAGCCCATTATGACCAATAATTAGCTATTATAATATTCTTATCTTTTCTTACCCATACATACATTTTCATTCCTTTTGTGAAGATGAATATGATTTTTCCTTTTGTGAGTGAGATCAAGTATATAGAAAATACTCTCTTTTCTCATATGTATCTGTAACTCTTTCTTTCTTTCTTGCCGACTCTAATGGAAAATCAAAATCTTGATAAAAGCGTCATCTCCGACCAACCTCGGGAAATACCTTTTCAAGAATCTGTTCCTTGTAAAAACCCAAAAAGAAACAAATATGCTTTTGCTTGCTCTCTTTTAGCCTCTATGACATCCGTTTTATTAGGTTATGGTAAGATATTCCGTTTCAATTCTCTATATTACTATCATGATGTTGTTACATATATATGTGTAGAATAGGTGAATTTAAAATAAATTTGATCTTATTGTATGTATATAACTCAATTTTCTTTACGTGTGTATACATAAATCGAATCAAAAGTTATCAATTCAGTTGAACTCATATAACCTGTATAACCTGTCTTAAATCCGATCGACTTCAATTCAGTTGAACGCATAGAACCTGTCTTAAATCGAATCGACTTTGGTCTATGCAGATACGGGAGTGATGAGTGGAGCAGTGATTTACATAAAGGAAGACCTTAAAATCTCAGATGTACAAATCGAAATCCTTGTGGGAACAATCAACATATACTCTCTTGTGGGTGCTGCTCTAGCTGGTCGAACCTCAGATTGGATAGGTCGTCGATATACCATTATTTTTGCCTCTGCAATATTTTTTGCAGGAGCAATATTGATGGGATTTGCTACAAACTATGGTTTTCTCATGTTTGGTAGGTTTGTGGCTGGTATTGGAGTTGGATATGCTCTTATGATTGCACCAGTTTATACTGCTGAGGTTGCCCCGGCTTCTTGTCGTGGGTTTTTCACTTCTTTCCCTGAAGTTTTCATCAATGGAGGTAATTAATTAAGCTTTCTCTCTTCTTTATTTTTTTTTTATTTTTCTGTATCAACAACAACAATAAATCCAATGAATTCCACCAAGAAAGAGTAGGGAAGGTATTGTATACCCCTATCCTGAGAGTTATTCCGAAATATAAATTTAAAAAAAAAAAAAAAAACAGTGACAATTGACAACTTTTTTTTGTGTGTGTGGTTATATTCAATGATATGGACTTTTGTCGTCTTCTTAGAATGATGAAATGAATTTTTGGCTGTTTTCCTCTTGGATGAGGTATTCATTTTCCAACGATGATCATAAAGGAGTGGAGTATGTATTATCGTGCTACAATTTTGCGAACGTACTTTTCGCTTTATACTGTAGTTATGCAAATTCAAGATTTTTTTACTCATAATTGCACAGATCTCTCACTGGGTTTCGCCACATCACACTCACCTCCCTTGTGGTTTTCAATATTATGCTTACCTCCTTTATTTTGATTTTTTTGTAACCATTTTTTAAACTCATTTAAAATAAATATAAATAAAATACAATTTGACAGATTTTGCCCTTTTTAATGTTAAAAATACAAACCAACCTAACATATATACACTCCTACCTGTATATTTCCTTTTAGTAATGAGATGATATTTTAAACTACAAATAAACTATAATTGTTAAGCTTTTAATTTATTCTATGTAACAAAACTACTAAAATATATTTTATTGTTATTACTGAAGAAGGTTATCCAATTTGTAAAATGTATATGGAATGAGATAGTTACGGTATCCCCGTAGCTTGACTTGCAAATATATAATATGCTCATGACAAAAGGCAAGAGTTGGTGACAACATTTACGAAGCTACATTATTAATATTCGACATTAGTCTCTTCCTATTTTATTTATTTTATTTTTCAAAAATATTCCAAACATATCCAAACAAAATAGCGGCTACGTCGGTTTCATTAGTTCTTATGTTGTTTTCAAGGACCATTTTGATGACATGAAAAATCAAACTTTCTCTAACACTCGAGTAAATTAAATTCAAAGTAATTTCTCTAATTGAAAGAAATTAACATTAAAAAGGGCAAATCTATCAAATTATATTTTATTTATATTTATTTTAAATGAGTTTAAAGAATGGTTACAAGAAAATCAAAATAAGGGAGGTAGGCGTAATATTGTAAACCACAAGGGAGGTGAGTGTGATAGGGCGAAACCTGGAGGGAGGTCTCTGAAATTATCCGTTTTTTTAATGGTTTCATGATAAACTATTTTTATTTGGACTAATTTTAATTATTACATTATCCGTACAATTAATGGGCATATCAGGTTATTAAAGTACTACTTTTTAATTTTATGTGACATTTATTATTTAGGAAGTCAAATAAGATTTTCTTTGACCATATCTTTTTGCAAATTTTTTTTTAAATATTTTAATCTATGAGCTATTGTGACCTATAATATTTTTTTGTGTAGCCTCTAAATATGTATTAGTTTTAAAAAAAATAAAAACTCTATGCTCCGCTTCACACCGAACATAATTAGTTAGTTTGACACTCGTACTCTTTTTTCTACTCATGATGCTAAACTAACGTTATCATATTGTATAGGAGTACGTCTAGATATTTAATTACTCCAAACTAATGGCCAGATTGAATTCGCTTATAATATTTACAGTGAGAGAGTGTATAACTTAAACTCCAATTCAAAAGGTAATTAATTGACACGTGAGGTTTGCCCTAGTGGTTTGAGCACCTCCACCATCAATTGGTAAGTTGAGCAGTTGAGGGTTTGAGGTTTTATTTGTTTGCACTTAATGGAGGTCTGAATCTTAATCATTCAGATCTTAATATTAAATGCGTTTGTTTTTAAAAAAAAGTCTCAATCTTGATCATTCAAATCTTAATCATTAAGTATGTTTGTATTTTTTACTCCACAACCACGTAATGGGTTTGAATAGGTTTGTATGATTAAGATCTATAACAATGACTTAATTTCATTAAGATACTAACATCCACATTCATTATTAACTGTCGCTACCGCCTACCATTATCAGCTACCACCACCACCATCCTCATCCATAACCGTCACTACTACCACCACCCCTACCTCCATTATCCTCAATCACAATCATATACTGTCTCAGTGAATAAGTAAACAATTGAATTGTTTCAATTGTATGGTGCCAGCGAAATCGATTGCTTTTGCTAATTCGAATTGAAGGGTGATATAAAATCGGTCTATTTCCGACCACCACAACTACCACAACCAACCACCCCATCACCATCAACAACCATAGCCGGCACCGTACACCATTATAAACTACCACCACCTACCATAACCATTATAATCTACCACCACCCACCATAACCATCCTTAATCACGACCATAACCACCACCACCAGAATCGCTACCAATCACCACTAGCTATTACCTAAAATCACCATAATCAACCAAAACTACCACCAATCACTGCCTCTAGTCGGCACTCACAAGTACCTCCGTTAGCCATCACCATATATATATATATATGATAGAATATTAGATTAACTTATTTTATTTGAATTTTATGTTTATTAATTTTTAAAGAAAGATAAATTTTATATATTCATATGTTTAAAAACAAACAATCTTAATATTCAAATGTGTATTCAAATCTTAATACACATCTTAATATTCAAATGTGTATTCATATTCAGTTATCTTAGAGGGAACACTGTATATCCTTGTGATATGGTGGTGGAGTGGGGTTAAAAAAGGTAGTAATTATTACTTTCCTGCCTCTCTTTTCTTCCCTTTTGGCAGGTGTGTTACTTGGTTACGTATCAAACTATGCATTTTCCAAGCTGCCCACGAAATTGGGATGGCGATTCATGCTTGGAATTGGTGTCATTCCATCAGTCTTCTTAGCCCTTGGTGTTCTTGCCATGCCCGAGTCACCTCGTTGGCTAGTCATGCAAGGTCGTCTAGGAGACGCTAAACGAGTTTTAGACAGAACGTCAGACACATTAGAAGAGTCCAAAATGAGATTAGCTGACATAAAAGAAGCTGCTGGTATACCACAAGACTGCCAAGATGATAGTATAGTTTCTGTCACACGACGTAGTTCTCATGGTGAAGGTGTATGGAGAGAATTGTTCCTCCATCCTACCCCTGCTGTTCTTCATATTCTCATTGCAGGCATCGGTATTCATTTCTTCCAACAAGCAAGTGGTATAGATGCTGTGGTGTTGTACAGTCCGAGGATATTCGAGAAAGCAGGTATGTACATATATATTGTTGAACTGCCTGATTTGCATATCTAAAAGTTTAAGTTAGAAAAATATCATTTTATTTACTTAAGGAAAAATGGCACACTCTAATATATGAAATATCTTAATTTTACTTCCATTATATATACTTTGGGGACCACTCATGCTCTTGTTCTCAACAAGTCTTCTTGTACTTGTCTTTGACTCTATTGAAGCTCCAACTTGAATTATAACTTAGGATACTTTTCAACATAGCTAATATTGTTGATGGGTAAATTTGGACTTTTTCTTGAATAAATTTGACACAAGGATATGCGCCTAGTTCAAGCTGGAGCTCCATATATATAAATCAAGGGCAAATAAAAGATACAATTTGCTAACGTCAAGAGTATGGATGACTCTAAGTATAACAGAGGGAAAAATCATTTAGCGTAGTAGTTAAATTTGAACTTCTTCTCTATACTTAATTATTCTTTTTCATGAGTCAAGCTTTGATAATGGGTGACGATGAAAATTGAAATCAAAATCCTCGGTATACTCTAATATCTTGTTGAACCATGTGACCATATCATTTAAAAGCTTAATTAAGTTGTTATATATAGAGGGTACACTTAATCTCATTTTCAACGTAACATGCATTACTAAAGACAACGACAGACTACTAGCAACTATATATAGTTGAGTTCAATTGTGTTGTTGATTATATATTGCATCTATGTTTGTCGCTCTAATACCATGTTAAAAAGTGTCTACTTTACTTGAAAGTTTAACTAACTAGACAGCTCACACGTTTACTTAATTCATTATACCTTCGACAGACATTACTAAAGACAACGATAGAATACTTGCAACTATATATAGCTGAGTTCAATTGTGCTGTTGATTATATATTGTATCTATGTTTGGCTGTATGCTCTAATACCATGTTAAAAAGTGTCTACTTTACTTGAAAGTTTAACTTACTAGACAGCTCACACGTTTACTTAATTCATTATACCTTCGACAGACATTACTAAAGACAACGACAGAATACTTGCAACTATATATAGTTGAGTTCAATTGTACTGTTGATTATATATTGCATCTATGTTTGTCCGTCTGCTCTAATACCATGTTAAAAAGTGTCTACTTTACTTGAAAGCTTAACTTACTAGACAGCTCACACGTTTACTTAATTCATTATACCTTCGACAGGCATTACTAAAGACAACGACATACTACTTGCCACTATAGCTGTTGGATGTATGAAGACATTCTTTATCTTGATAGCTACATTCTTGGTAGACAAAGTTGGAAGAAGAGTTTTACTTCTATCAAGTTGCGGTGGTATGATTCTCTCCTTATTAGGCCTAGCAACTGGCTTAACCATAATTGATCACTCAGATCATAAGCTAAAATGGGCAATAGTCCTTTGCATATGTACAACATTATCTAGTGTTGCTTTCTTCTCAATTGGCATGGGTCCTATTGCATGGGTATACAGTTCAGAAATCTTTCCATTGAGATTAAGAGCTCAAGGTTGTAGTATAGGAGTGGCAGTGAATAGAGCAATGAGTGGAGCAATTTTGATGACATTCATATCATTGTACAAGGCTATTAGTATTGGAGGGGCTTTCTTCTTGTACACTGGAATTGCAGTAATTGCTTGGATTTTCTTTTACACATTGTTACCAGAAACACAAGGTAGAACACTAGAGGAGATGGAGGAATTGTTTGGTACTTTCTTTAAGTGGAGATCTACTATGAAAGAGTTGAAGAAAAACAAAGTGGAAAGTGATGGTAGTGCTCAAGTTCAGATGGAAAATAGCCAGCCTTAAATAGTGATTGTACTACTTAATATTAACTAGTCAGAATTTGAACACATAACATGCACATTTTAGCTTTTCTTTTTTGTTTTCTAAGTACATGAAAAACGTCCCAGATATTATGCTAATTGTGCCCCATATATTATTTGAAGTCTTCAAAACTCTTTACCCTGTTTCCATAAATTTCTAACTACCTCATATTGCAAAAAGTTTTGTTAATTTTATAATAAGCAAAGCACGTGTAAGAGATCACTGGTTTACATAGAGATCTTCTAAATTGAGCTGTTGAGGAAAACATAACTATAACTTCTTGAAAAACCTTTTTCTTTTGTATATCCATCTACAGAATTTGATATTTATTTGCTCAAGTAATCTAGATTTGCGTCACATAAGATCCATTAATGAAAAAATGGTTCCTATAATAAATTTTCTATTCCCAAGGCTCAAACATGAAACCTCTAAGGATGTTCCCGAAATCTGAAAAGTGAATCGACAAATGATGCAACAATCAGAAATACTAGTTGGGTCCAACCGGATATTCTAACAATGGGGTCCAACCCATTGTTAGAACAAAGAAAGAAGAAGTAAAATAGGCATGTGCCTATGAATAGCCCCGGCAGAGAGCCTTGGGGCCAAAGGCTAGATTTGTGGTAGTATTCTTGGAGACTAAGTTTTGCTCTCCTATAAAAGGGGAGCTATTTTACTTCTTAAGACACATCATCAGAAAGAGAGAAAGAAAAGTGACGCATCGTAGACGGGATATAAGAAAATACTCATTGAGAAAAATAGAGAGTGTGAGCGATATTATAGTGAGGTAAAAATATCAAAAGAGGGTTATTTCTTTTGAGTGTTGTAGTGGTCTTAGGAGTATTTTATTCGGGCCTACAAGGAGAAAAATCCCTTGCTATAGTGATATCCATTGCACCTCTCGGACTCGTGGTTTTTTCTGTATTCAAAAGGGTTTTTCACGTAATAATCTTGGTGTCATTGTCACTATTTTATTCTTGTTGATTACCGTATCTCGGTGCTACACTATTATTCTGCTTTTATTACCGTAAATATTATTTGTTGTCGTATGTTTATTCCTAACAATTGGTATCAGAGAACAGGTTCTGCTCGTTCACAGAAATACTATTCACAGTTGGTAGTACTATACTCGGTTAAAGGAAAAAAATGTTCGGAGTAAAGTATGAGGTAGAAAAATTCAACGAAGATAGCGGTTTCTCAACATGAAAAAAGAAGGATGAGAGATCTACTCATTCAACAGGGATTACGTAAAGTACTAGATATTTTGTAGGCCACGCGCACGTGTGCACCATATTTTTAGAAGACTCAGAAGGAAGGCGTAAGAAGATAGTTTATACAATTCAAATAATATCAAAGCGGTAATTAATGACAATTAACACATTAGGCCCACAAAATAGTAATATCAACAATCAAGAAAGCCAAGCTCGAATTCTGAACCCTGAACCAGAAGTTTTGGGTTCTTATTCCCCAGCAGAGTCGCCAGAGCTGTCACACCTCCCTTTTTCCGAGGGATAGAGGAGTTTTTCCAATTAAAGTGACATTATTCGAAATGAGATTATTTAATAAGAATCGCCACTTGGAATGTTTGTTATGGTGTCCCAAGTCACCGGTTTATTTTAAAATCCCAAATCGAGGAAATTGACTCTTATTTATGGTCTGCGAACACAGCAGATCGGGTAAGAAATTCTGTTAACCCGGGAGAAGGTGTTAGGCATTTCTGAATTTCGTGATTTTAGCACGGTCGCTTCAATCATACCTGACTTAATTGTTAATTACGTGTTTAAGAACCTATGTGCATTTTGTCTTTTACCGCTTTTAAATTATGGCATTATGGATTTATCTTTGAAACGGATCACGTGTGCATGAATCAATTTTATTTAGGACGCTAAAATCATGTCATGCGTACGTGTATACAATTAATCACGCTTTATTATTCTTAAGGATTGTTTGGCCAAAGTCGCGCGAACGTGTACCTTGATTTATTTTGGGAATCATAATTATGTCACGCGAACGTGTACACAATCACGATAGTAAATTAAAAGCCCGCCTAAGTATTCTACGAATGTTTCATGAGTTGATTATTTTCCTAAGATTTTAGATTATTGGGAAAGTTCAAGAATTATGAAATTATTGATGAAAAATATAGTAAATTAGTTATGGAAAGGCGGGCTAGCTTATTCAATTATTTAAGAAAAATATCTAGAATTGTTGTACTGGGTCGGATGTAGTTCAGCTTATTGAGACCCAAATTCTTCTCTTTCATTATAGTCCAAAACTAAACTATCATATGTCAACCAATCCCAACTAATTGCCAAATCTTCACGGCCCAAGACACATTTACAAACAAATCACATGGCCTAATTTATTAACTAATTAACCAAATATAAACTCTAAAATTTAATCAGCAAAACAATCAAAACTCATGGCAAATGAGGATATGAACCAATGAAAATTCTTCAACAAATACCACAAGCAAACACATAAACAGAGATTCATGAACAAACATAATGAAAAGATTGACCAAAAAATATTAATCGAAAGAGGCAAGAACGGACCTCAATCAGCTGCAATTTTTATTTAAAATGGGAGCTCTCAAATCCAAGTACAATGAAGAGATTCGACTTAATACTTCTGCAACAGAACTGAACCAAGATCGGAGGCTTTTAAAGGCGACATCGCCGGAACCTCAAACCGGCGAATTCGAACATCACCTCACTTTAACGATGGTTTCGGAACTAAATTTTGGACTGATTTTGGGGTTATTTTCGAGCTATTTCGCAGCTGGTTTTGCTGCTCCCTTTTGGCTGGATTTTTCGAAAGAAAAAGGAAGAAAGAATGACACGAGTAGAAATTCCCTTAGCATAGAAGAAGAAAAATATTTCTCTCAATTCCCTTTTCTCTTCTTTTTATAGAAAACAATTCGGAATTTTTCAGATTTTTTTTAAATTATTGTATTATTATTATTATTTTTAATTAAAATCTTCCCACTTAACATTTTTCTTTTTTTAAATAAAAATCATTCCTCACTTTCCTTTACTTTTATTTTTTAATTTCCTACTTGTTTTTACTTTTTTTTTCCACTTATTTTACTTCTTTTTTTTTTAATTTTCACTTATTTTACTTTTCTTTTCTTTTTTTTCTAATTTCCACTTTCTTTTACTTTTTTTTAAAAACAATTTCACCTACCTTTACTTTTATTTTTTAATTCCAACTTTATTTTTCTTTTTCTTTTCATTTTTTTAAATTTCCATATTCTTTTACTTTTATTTTTTTATTTTCCACTTTCTTTTACTTTTTTATTAAACAATTTTCACCTACTTTTACTTTTATTTTTTTTATTTCATACTTCTACTTTTCCTATAAAAATTATAAAAAAAATATATTTAATTAATATTGTTTTTGGTTTTTAATTTATTTTATTTAAAAATAAGGGGAAAAAATAAAAATAAAAATAATATTAATAGTAATAATTGACCTTTTAAATTATTTTTAATTTTTTACCCTATATATAAAAAAAGTGTAACAAAGCTAAAATATATATATATATATATATATATATATATATTAAATTTCTAAAAATATTTACATAGTAGAAGTGATAAAAATTCAAATATAGTCAAAACTTAGGTGCTCACAGCTGCCCCCCTTTGCTTGGAAACATAAAGAGTTTTTAGGCAAAGATTAGGTGAGCCAAGTGACTAAGATTTGACCAAACCGTTATTCAAAAGGAAAAGAAATAAAAGATAGGGTGTAACCGAGTCCTGGTTTTGGACAACCTACATATCCCGGGTTATAGGGGAATCAGGTCGCATGTAGTTCAAGAAAAATAGTAGAAGGATGAGTTGAGGAGTCGAGTGAAGTTTCGTCGAGGCTTTGGTCCGCGGTCCTGCTATTATATCAAAATAAAAAAGAAACTAAACAAGCCTATTAGTTATGAGTTACAAGATTCCTATCTAGAAGTCTTCTGAAACTTGATCTTGAGTCTTGACTGGTTCTTCATGTAGACTCTGATCTAAACCTTGATGCTCGCTAGTTGTAGGTGCTAGTTCATTGTTCTATAGCTTCTTCTAATCAAAACGGGAAATGTAAAGCTCGTAACTTCAGTCGCCTTGAGCAATCCACATCTTCTCATCCGCTTCTGCATTTTGGATTCACTTCTCTTGTTTTCTTTTCTTTATTCTGGATTGAGAATTCTTCTTTTGGTCTTCTCGAACCCTATGCCTCGAGGTAAAACCTGCTCAAACACCAAAACAAACAAACGAACGAAATTTTTCTGTCCCAGTTTTCACTAGGAAAATTTCGTGAGTTATTATAACAAAACTCTATACTACTTTATTATTAAAAATAATAAAAGGTCGGGATTTGTGTACCCTGGGAAAATATGATTCTTTGGGAAGGGTGTACCCTGATTATCTAAATGGTGTCTCAACTAAGGATTGGTGTACCTTATGTTGGAGAAAATATGGCTAGGAAATGGTGTACCCTGCATTTAAGCTCAAATCAACTAGGGAGTGGTGTACCATTTGTTACTAAAAGGAAATGTAACCAGGGGTTGGTACCTTGTATTACTGATATGAAATGTAACCAAGGGTTGGCACCCTGTATTACTGAAAAGATATGTAACCATGGTTTGGTGCCCCTAGGCAAAAATGTTCTACATGGTTTAAACTACATAAAACAAATTGAGCGAAGAGTACTTCTACTCAGAACTATGAGCTGGATCCCCCTAGGCGAAAAGGTTTTACTTGGGTTAAGCTACGAAAAACATCCTGAACGAAGAGTACTTCTACTCGGAACTATGAGCTGGATCCCCCTAGGCGAAAAGGTTTTACTTGGGTTAAGCTACGAAAAACATCCTGAACGAAGAGTACTTCTACTCGGAACTATGAGCTGGATCCCCCTAGGCAAAAAGGTTCTACCTGGGTTAAGCTACGAAAATGATCTGTATGAACAATAGTGATGCATGCTTAAAATTAAAAAAAAATGGAGATTTTGTGGAAACCTACCTTTGGTGACATTCGTCCTTTAAGAATTGCCATTCTGCACTGCTTTGTTACTGCTTCTAAACTAAGAAAAATTGTGAGTTTCAAAAGTGGCGGTCGGTTTGTGGCCTTGATGTCTTTG